CAATGCTAATGTTTAACTAGCTGGAATAGCTGTTTGCTTAGCGGAGAATGTGAGGTATCTGACAGAAGGGACATCTCTCTTATTAGTAATCAAATCGGGCTGACCAGTTGTTGCCATCACTCTGGGATTGTGTCAGGCAATCGAGAACAAGTTCACCACTTTATAGGACTCGAAGCACCCCCCAAAAATCAATATCATTATATTTGTCTTTAGTGGTTTAGTTATGGAAATCATATAGCACTGGATTGTTGCCGGGCGAGCTGGATTTATTTTTGCTTTATTGGCTAAAAAGAATAGTTGGAAGTGGAGGAATCTTGGCGGCGTGGTGAACGCAAGACGGCGCGTTACAGTTTTAATGATTGGATTACGTGTGTGCTAATTGTTCGGAGTTTCCAAGACATGTGTGACTTTTGCAGATGCAAACAGGGAAGTGCCTTAAAGGGTGGCTACAAAACGCAACAAAAATTAGCTGGGAATGAAAATTGGGATAATATTTGGCTGCGATGTTCTCGGTCGGACTTTAACGCAGAGCCACGGTCAGGGCGATCGTTGAACGTACACTGAGAAATGCACGAGTAGTTGATGCTGATGGTCCACACGCCCGCCACTGCGCTGCGCACATAACGCTGTTCCATGATTAGGGATTATAATGATATATCCATAATAACATCCTGGAATGGCTGCAAGATGATTTATATCCGTTCTGTGAAGGGTGGTCCTGGTAAAATTGAAATGAGCTACACAGTGTCACGGCTTGCATCCCTCCCCCCCAACTATCGGAAGTATGTTATAATTTGATATTCCAGAAGCATGAGAAGGTATAAAAAAAATCAGAAAACATTTGGTTAATGGGTTTATCATGTTTATTTGAATAAGGAAGATTGAAACTCCATTTATGCCCAACGTAAATGCTTTAGAGATCTTAATTATTGATGAAAAATCTGCCGTGCTTCTAAATTTAAAGATATGACGATTTTATAGGAATTTTAATCACCTTCCACATTAGGAATTTCCAAGCTTTGCTGTTTACGAGGGTGGCATCTCTTTTAGCCTTCCAAACAGAGGTGTCACTTGGCACGTCAAATCCTGGGGGCATCGGGCTGCGTCCTGCGTGGGGCTTGGAGCAGAGGTCAGCGCGGAGCAATTCCTCCTAAGATGTGCTTTGGAAAACTGACTGGAATGTTTGCTGTGAGCAAACTGCAAGAGGGAAGCGTGGATGGGAAAACCTCCTCTGAAACCACTGCCGTCGGGTTTAAATACCTGGTATTTGTGCTCGCTGGACCCGCCTGTTAACAGTTTGTTCCCTAAATTTGTTGTCAGTGTTGGATTTTGGGTTTGCTTTTTCTCCTGAGCATCCCAGGACAAGGTTTCCCCATCCAATTTGAGGGTCAATTTACAGTTTCCCATAGGAAGTGTTACCGCTTGGTTAGCTGGCTTAAAAAAAATAATAGAATTATCTACAATATGCTTCACTAGATCCTTTTGTCCTTTGGATACATTTAGCAGCTTTTGACCAGATAAGGCATATTTGTCCTCAGGATATGAACCAATAATTCAACCCTGAATTGAGATCTATGGCCACCCGTTTGTTCCAGCCCACACTAGGAGTCTCTGATAGTCTGAACTGTTTATAGCACCAGGGAAAAAAAATAACAGGAAGGGGAAAAAAAAAGCCCACCCCTTCTTCTGCACCTCAGGAATAATAATTCATTAGCAATTAAGGTATTTTAAATAAACTTCTGGAATTATACGTCTGAATCCTGCAGTGGACTTTAAATGTAAACCCAAAGCAGAGGCCTTGGAAGGAGTTTTGTGTGTCGCAGCCTCGGCGACCTTTTAATTCATGGAGAATTGTTATTTACGTTGCCTGGATGTTTCCCACGGAGCGTGGCTGAGTGTGTGCACTTTTATTACTGTATGCCTTTAAGTATCTCCTGGCATATCGGGGCTATTCATACCGCACAGTCACTCACGGAGGAAAGAACCAGCCCACCATAAATTGCAGCGCAGTCAGTAAAAAGATGCCACAGACAAAAAGTGTCCCTGGGAAATTCGATTGACCCAAAAGAAAAGCAAATAAAAGAAAGGAAAAGGCCCATATTTTCTTTGCGGTGTTGCTGAAAAGGATGGGAGTATCATTTTCATAGTGGAATAATGTTTTCTGGGAAAACACAAAAGCAGATGTTCCTCATTAGGAACACCCATTGTCTACATATCACAACTATGAACAGATAAATCTCTCCTATTTCACCCATACATTCCAGGGGCTGTAAATGATTACAGGATGCCGCTGTAACTGCTAAACCAAAACCACACTCTGGGCTAAAACAATTCCTCCGTCACATATTTCACTAGAAGGTACGGAAATTCCCGTGAAGATCCATCCTTTTGCCTTCTCCTTGCCTCATTGGGCTCGAGGATACCCCAAAACTGGGGGTCTGAAGTGTCAGCAGCGGTGAGGAGCGGTGCTGGGGCATCCGGATCACAATCCCGCCCGGAATGGATGCGCTCGCAGTGCATCGCCGAGCGTGTGCTCTGCAGCGGGTTTCCAGATGGTACCATCACAGTCCTACTGCTAGTTGGCATCTCCGCGGGTAGTAAATACCCCCCTCCCCAATAAATCTGGCATTATTCTATAGAGTTTAGGAGACTTATCATTCCAAGTGTGTCCTACTTTCCTGTATGGAAGCCAGACATCTGCTTATCCCATTTCTTTCATACGGAGTTTGGAATAGCTTTAGTTGGGGGGGGTGGGATAAAAAGTTTTGTCATATTTAACAGCTGTTACAGAATTTCAATCCCGTAGGCTCTTAAAATACTTTTGGGCTGACCTCAGGTTTTGTGGATAATTGGCATTGGTGGGAGCCACCCCCCTTAACCTTTCCTTGCCTGGAATTTCAGATTATTTCCCCTCACCACGTTGCCCGGTTGTGCTGTTTGGGGGGGGGGGTTGAATGCTGGCTGGCCGGTGCAGCGCTTTAATTCCTTCCTCCTCCAAGTTTACACCTTTGGCGCGGCGGCTGGAGGGCGATGGGGGTGTATTTTTTCGTCAGCAGCAGCGTTTCCTTTCACTTCCCGTCACAAAGGTGAGAGCCGCTGACCTTTGCTGGCAGTCCCGGCCGCTGAATTATTCATGTGATTGACTTTTTGTCAGTGCACACAGTTGTGCTCTGGGACATTTTATTCATTTACCTCATTTAAAGCGCCTTTCTGCACCTGTTCAAGTATTAATATCATGTAATTTGGGCCTAATGCCGATTTTGCTGAACACTCATTATATTTTTTATTAGCTATATTTCCAAACGATTATGTATGATTATTACCAAGCCTTACAAACAGCAATGGGTTATTCCCTAGACCTTTACATCTTCTTGTCAGGTTGTTTTCAGAAGCAAGGAGGATAAACATTTGACCAGTCCCAATGTTTTTATTCCTACTCCATATCCAACCAGAGAACTTAAAGCTTTTTCCCTTATGGCTTTGCGAAAGCATGATTAAATCCAACTCTGCAGAAGCTGTACAAATGCCAGCATTTATAAGGTCAACGCTTTTGTTAAAAATGCTATGTAAATGAGGATCTGCAAAAAGGGACATTAAATAAAATTAAATTCATTGTCTTCTTTAATGTCATTTACATTTTGGCTAAGCCCTGGCCTGTCAAGGAGGATTTTTTAAATAATTTTAATTACACATCATTTAGGGATCCAACGTTTTCTATTCAGTAGCATTTGGATAACCTGCAAAATGGTGACTGTTTATTAACTTCTTAAATGACAACTTGTCATTTCATCTGCATAACGCCAGGAAAACAGACCACTCTGGTGTCATTTTTGGTTTAAATTCTTATTTTTGTCTTGAAGATGATCTCCCAACTCCTGGAAGAATAGGCCTTAAAATAACTCAGTGCTCTTCTGCTCTCATTGTCCTGTTGGCGCTACCAAGTTCAGAGTGTGTTAAAAAATGACAACTTTCCTGAGTAACCAGTTGTCGAAAAAATTCT